TTTATTTTTTTTAAGGACCGTTTCTTTGAATATCTCTGGCTATCCTGGAATTAGCTCTGTAGACCAGGCTGGCATCAAACTCAGAGATCCTCTTGCCTTTGTCTCAAGTGCTCTGGGATTAAGAGGCATGGGCCACGACACCAGACCTAAAATGGTATTTATTATGACTCTAGAATATCTGTTGGAGGGCTTTAAGCAATTTATTGTTTCAAACAAAACAGCATGAACTTTAATACTGCATAATTAACATGTACAACTACCTTCCCATTGCTTTAACTCAGTAAAAAATTTTTAGGAACTTCAGGTAAAAATTAAGTGGTAGAGAGTATGTGCTTAACATGCTCAAGATTCTAAGCTATGCTATAGCTCCAAGGTTCAACTTTAATATTTTTAAGTGACTGTAGAAGCCAAAATCTGTTATTTGTCTAGTAGTGGCCATACCAATTTTCTCTTATTTTTCCCCCTCAATTATTCATTCTGGTAGCCCAAGCTTGCTTCATAAGTTTTCCTGATTTTGCTACTCCAACATAATTTATTTACAGGTGTGAGACAGACATTGAAGTTGGGTTGTTTCTTTTTTAAATTTATCTTTTTTTTTTTTTTTTTAATGTGCATGGCCCCAGGGGTGTCAGACCACTTGGAACTGCTTACGGACAGTTGTGAGCTGCCATGTGGGTGCTGGGAGTTGAGACTGGGTCCCTTGGAAGATGCATACAGTGCTCTTAAACCACTGAGATATTTCTCCAGCCCCTAAACTTAATCTTAATACATAAGATTAAACTTAATCTTAATACGTAATCTTAAACTTATCTTAATACGTAAACCTAGCTGGCTATCCTGGCACTCACTCTAAACCAGGCTGGTCTCCAGAGATTTTGCCTACAGTGCTCTATTAAAGCCCTGTGCCATCATACCCAGCCCAAGTTTGTGTTTTTAAGCTAGTTTGAATATTAAAGCTGTATGATACTTGTTTACAGCTTTTTTTTCTTTTTTTTTCTCTCTGTGCATCTTTATTAGATCTTAAAGTTGTAGAGATAGGTTACTGTCTACTGAGAATGAATATAATGCTGCTACTAAAATACTGCCCCAATTCCAAAATACTATGTTTCACCTTCCATATTAACATTCTGTAGTAGTCTACAGAATGTAGTACTCTAGAATATTTTCGTAACCAGTCAAAGTTCACACTTAGCTTTTCTGGGTTTTGGCACCAGATGACTTTTAAAGAAAAGACATGACTGCTCCTAGGTAAGGCGGAAGAGGTTTATTGTAGGTAGGAGGGAGAGCATAGCCAGAGGCAGGGTCATCTAGGAGAGTCCAGAGTGAGCATGACCCTGAGCTAGGTCATGTGAGAAGGGAAGAGAGCCGGGAAAATATTGGGTAGAAAAAGCCCAGGTAAACAAAATGCCTATATATAGGGAATGGTAGCCAGGTGGATATTGAAGGATGCTGGGAGAACCTGTTGGCCAGATCTGTTATGTGGGCACCTGGGTTTGAGACTTAACATTAGAGAGATTAAAAAAATACCATATTGTGGCCAGGTGGGGTGGCACCATGCCTTTAATCCCAGCAAGCACTCAAAAGAGGCAGCGGGTCCTGGAGGTGAGCTTGGTCAAAGCAAGTTCCAGGACAACCAAGCCTGTATACAGAAAACTGGTCTGGGGTGGGAGGACAAACTTAAAATACTATAGCCATTAATGTATAATGGCTATATTATCCAGTAAACTTGGTTATTTGTGTAACATAGATGGTGAGTTTTGTTTGTCAAGCCAGTTTTGTTTTTAAACTAAATGGAGTAGTTGGTAACCTTTAGATCTTTCTTATGCCTGGCTAATCTTGAAACTTTAACTTCATATATATTTACAATGTATTATGTTTTGTGCCACTTTGAAAACCGGTGTTTCTTTCAAATTTTTTATTATTTGATATTGATACATATCTATAAGTGTTTGTACATGTGAGTGCAGATTCCTGTTTAGTATTAGGTTCCTGCTTAGGCCAGGAGATTGTGTTGGCTCCCTGGAACAGAAAACTGAACTTTGGTCATCTGGAAAAGCAGTACCCACTTGTTTTCTGTTTGTTTTTTGGCAGGATGTCTCTGTGCAGACCAGGCTGGCCTCAAACTCACAGATCCACCTGCCTATGCCCCTGAGTGCTGGGATTAAAGGTGTGTGCCACCACTGACCTGCCCATTCCAGCTTTTTAAAGATGACTAATATTATCATTTGTTATCCTCTCCTTTTTCCATCTCTCTGTCTCTTTCCTTTCCTCTCTATATGTAACCATGTTAGGCTTAGGGATCCATCACCATCTGCCTCTGGCATGAAAAGTATATGTTAACATACAGGCTAATGATTGAGGCTTGTAATTAACGAAGTTAAGCTGGTCAGCATGTAGGCTGTCGTTAATGTAACAGTGAACAGTGTTCATTGTTAGCCTCTGAAAAGACCAGCAGGAGACAGTATTTATTGATAGAAAAAAAGATGTGTAGTAGGCAAAATACAAAAAGAAAAAAAAAAGAAAGCAAGTCAGTTGGAAAGGTTCAACAAAGGAAATAAAGGACATCAGGGCAAAATAGGTGAAATATTAATTCAGATACTGATGGCTGCCAGTAGACAAATTGGCTTATATTTAAGAGTGTTGAAAAAACCGGAGGTTTCTTTGTAAAATTTGATTCATTGATGCTATCTAGGGGCTGGAGAAATAGCTTGGGTTTGCAGAGGACCCAGGTTTGATTTCTACCAACTATTTGTAACCCCAGTTTGAGGGAAATTGGATATAGCCTTTGACCTCCTCAGGCACCAGCACAAAGGAGTCCGTATGTACATACATAGATACATACACGCACACGCAGACAACATACACATTGGTAAAAATTGTTAAAAATATTCTCCCAGAAGAGGAAATATGATTTCCTATGATTTTGAGGCCAGAACTAGCCTGAATAGAATTAAATGGCAGCCACTGTTGCAATTTAGATTTATTGTCATGTATGTGTAGAACATAAGATAGTAAAGGAGTTCTATCTGTTTTGAATATAGACTAGTTCAAGTTTTAGGAATAAAAGAATGTGTTGATTTTCTTAATCTGACTCATTGTTTAATATGATTTGACATGTTAAGTCATGTTGATAACCATACATGATTCTTACCACTAATGACTATATATGACTAGCCAATCTGATTAAAACATAGAGCTATATTAAATACCCAATGGCAAAATGCCTTTTTGTTTTTTATTTTCTACATTTTATCATATATATTGCTATATACATAAACTAAAAACACATTGTTTTTTATGCTGAATTGTGACTCAGATCCTTGAGCCTCTGCCTCTTGAGTGTTGGTATTAAAGATTTGTACCAACAACCACACAAAGCCTAGGAAGACTCCCCCCAATAGGGTTTCTTTGTGTAGCTCTGTCCTGGACTCACTTTGTAGACCAGGCTGGCCTTGAACTCCTTCCATGTGTGCTACCATTCTTGACTTAGGAAGACATTCTTGAGTGACAGTGGAGCCTGTTAAGTCTTTATCAATTTTAGATCATTTAGTGTTTCTTTTATTCTTTATTGAAAATACGAAAAAATATATGAACATTGGGTATCAAACCTAGGGTCTTGAAGTTTTGGTAGAGACTCTAAAGGTGATTTCTCCTGATCCACTCTACCTTTGAGACAGTGGGTTGGAACTTTCTGTGTAGCACAGACAAAGACCAGATTTTGGTAGTAGTTTTGTTTAAACCCCTGCACTCCCAGAAGAGTCACGGGCTGTCAGACCTAGGTTTATTTTCTCTTGATAATGAGACTTCTCTTGATAATGAGACACACCCTCAGCCTTTGGTTTTTAGTGATTAATCACAAATCAGTGTGTATTTTCCATTTTTGTGAAGGCAAGAGTTTGCTGGGTGTCATCTTCAGTTACTTGCCACCATAGTTTTGAGACTAGTCTTTCAGTGGACCTGGAACTCTTCGATTCTGGTCATCAGATTTTTTTTTTTTTCTTTTAATGTGAATGTTGGGGATTAAACTCTAGTCCTGATGGGTCCTGGTTCTTCATGGCGTATACTTCACTGAACCCCTTTGTCCTCAGGTGCATTATTTTTGCGAACTTCATGTATGCCCTGCTAAATTTTCTGTATTGGTGGCTTCTGCTACAGAGTAGTAAACTAATGGCTTTGCTTTTGTTAGGGAAGTGCTCCACCACTGCAGATCAGTTATGTATTGCTTTGATGTTAGGATTTATACTGATAAACAGCAAACGGGATTGTGAAATAAAATTTAATTTAAAAGAACATCACTGGGCATTCTGTAAAACCAACTTCATTATAATTTTGTCTTACATAGTCTTTAGAGTGAGGTCTGTGTGGTGGCTTAAACATAAAATTCTAGGATTCTAAGTATTCAGAATTTTCAGTATTCAGGCCAGCTTGGCTAGAGTGGAGCTGTCTGGGAAAAAAAAACCTTAACTATTCTGTGTTGTATTGGCTAGTTTATCATCATCACCATCCAATATTCTAGGTGTAAAAAGTGCTTTTAAAGTAATTGTTCCCTATGGAAAGATGGCTTTATACTTTGTAGCATATGCTCAATCCAAGTGAATACCTTGACTAGTTGGAAGTAATTTGCCTTTGTGAAGTTATACTTGAAAGCAAAGAATGTTTCAGGGTAGAATTTGGAGATAGTCTGTTTGAAGAAAAACATATTAGATAGGCAAACCTAATGGTAGGTTTCTTATAACGGTAAAGGCAAAAAGGCTGAAAACTGGTAGTAAAGGTTTTAGGGAATTAGAATTTGCTTAAGAACTTCAACTTTCAGAAGGATCACTTGGAATTAATATATAGGAGGATTGTGTTGCCAGTATGTGAGGAGGGATAAAAGGAGTACAAATAAATTTGATACTGAGATCCCTTCTAAGTTGAATGAAACTGTAGGAAGTCTCAGTGGTTCAGATAAAACACTATTACAAACATCTGTTAACCTGAATGCTTCTTTTTCATTCCAGTTTTCAGCTTTGTGAGAAACCTTATCATCAAAGGAGATGGCTAGCAATGTTACCAACAAGACAGATCCTCGATCCATGAATTCCCGTGTATTCATTGGGAATCTGAACACTCTTGTGGTCAAGAAGTCTGATGTGGAGGCCATCTTTTCAAAGTATGGCAAAATTGTGGGTTGCTCTGTGCATAAGGGCTTTGCCTTCGTCCAATATGTTAATGAAAGAAATGCCCGGGCTGCTGTAGCTGGAGAGGATGGCAGAATGATTGCTGGCCAGGTTTTAGGTGAGTTCGGGGCTGAATAAATTTGTTTCCTCAAGTCTGTAAAGCTAGTCTTGATACTTGATGTTGTGACTGCAATGTAATAATACAGTGGCTTTCTATACCATTTGAAAAAGACACTGGTCAACCCTTGTTAATCTTGAGTAAATGTAGCACATGATAATGGCATTTAATAATGTGGAGCAATTTCTCACACATATTCATATATAGCTAAAACTTAGTCTGTGGAACAAGACTGCCTGGGGTTTTATTTTATGTGCATTAGTGTGAAGGTGTCAGAACCCTTGGAATTGGCATTACAGACAGTTGTGAGCTGCCATGTAGGTGCTAGGAATTGAACCCAGTCCTTTGGAAGAACAGATAGTGGTCTTAACCATTGAGCCATCTCTCCAGCCCCATCTCACAATTTTTTGATGTGTATAAATGTGTTACAGCAAACATGAAGTAGAAAAGTTTTGAGAATTCTTTTTTGTTTTGTTTCGTTTCATTTTGGAGACAGGGTTTCTCTAACCCTGTCTGTCCTGGAACTTGATCAGTAGTCCAGGTTGGCCTCTGCCTTCCAAATGCTGGATTAAATAAAGGTGTCTAGCACCATCCCTGATTCACTTATTTTTTTTTTTGTGACAGGATGTTATTTTTTCATAAAAATGTTTACCACTATGATTTCAAACTCCCATTATGTTGGGATTAAAACTTGTATGCCACCACTCCTTTCCAAGCTTGTCTTTTTAAATTATTTTATTTTATGTGTGTTAGTGTGAGGGTGTCAGATTCCTTGGAATTGGTGTTACAGACAGTTGTGAACTGCCATGTGGGTGCTGGGAATTGAATCCGGGTCCTTTGGAAGAGCAGACAGGGCTCTTAACCAGTGAGCCATCTCTCCAGCCCCCAAGCTTGTCTTTTAAAGTAACTTTGAATGTATTAAACCTATGTAACACCTTCCCTGCTGCAGCCTTTCTGTCTGGTAACAGTGCTGGTCCAAAGTTGACTGTTACTGGTCTTAATTCTTCCTTGAACTCAGCCTTCGCTGGGATTAAATGTATGTTCCACCACATCTAAACTGTAATTTGAAATTTTTAATGAAATCTCTGGCTTATTTTCAGGGGAAGTGTTTACAAGACTACACTCCAATTTTGGCTTTGTTGTTGTATAGTTGTAATGTGACTTTAGGTCATATTAGTTGCACCTGATACACATTATTGGGAAAAATCCGTTTGCATCATTCATTTATTGTGTCAGAGTTTCTCTGCTATAGACCAGGCTGGGCTGGAACTCACTGAGATTCACCTGCCTCTGCCTCCAGAGTACTGTGAATAAAGGCATGCACCACCATGGTTACCTTGGATTATTTATCTTCATTTCAACTCTATACTGAAGTTTAAATGCTGACCAGTTAGCAAGAATAGAACTGTTAACCATCTATTGCTGGGGAGTACAAAATTACAAAGTCACCATGGACATCACTGGAGTTTTCACAAAACCTACCACTGCCAACTACCAGTTATATTGTAGTATTTCTAGGCATAGACCCAGAGTGTTACTTCTACTATACATAATTGTGTCTATGTGATTATTGCTGCTGTATACTCATTAGCAAAGCAGTGAGTAGATGAATGAAAAAATAGTGAACGTAATCTGTGTATTTGTATGTATATACTCAGTGAACTTATAATTAGTTATAGAGAAACAGGCAAGCTGGGGGTATGCCTCAGTGTTAAGAGCAAAAGAGTTACTGAGTAAGGCAGGGGGAGAAGGGAATCAGTTTTAGTCACTTATGCCCTTTGGTATATCTTGCTGCCCAATTGTTGTGTCATTAAACTTAGAAAAAAATTCTTTTTTTTGGGGGGGGTATATATGTGTAAAAGTTGCTAATTCATTATCTGAGTAATACTTTCTTTGTTATTGTATTGTGTGGAGTTTAGCTGGTTGTAATAGGAATAAGAATAGTTGATTGGACATGACTGGAAGGTATGATACTTAAATCACATTAAATTGCCATGCTTATTGTGGCAGTCATACATGGTCTCTTTTCTTTTTGTTTTTTCGAGACAAGGTTTCTCTGCGTAGTCTTGGCTGTCCTAGACTCGATTTTTAGACCAGGCTGGCCTCAAACACACAAGATCTGCCTGCCTGTGCCTCCCAAGTGCTGGGCTGCAGGTGTGCACCACTGCACGGGGCTTTTTTGTTTCCTAAAAATAGGAACACTGGAAAAATGGCCAGTTAGTAGCTATTGATGTGATATTCTTTAGTACATGAGTAAACAGTTGTGTGTAAATGGAGCTGAGTGGAAGCTGGGAGTGGAGATAGAGAGCAAAGAGAAAATGTTATGTCTGGGCAGTATTGGCATATAACAGTACAGAAATGAAAGAGTAGCTCTGTAAAAGCTTAAACATTTTTAAGGCCTTGGGAGATGGCTCTGGTTAAGAGCACCTGTTCTTCCAGAGGTCTGTCCTGACGTCCTGAGTTCAATTCTCAGCAGCCACATGGTGGCTCACAACCATCTGTAATGGGATCTGATGCCCTCTTCTGGCGTTTGTGAAAACAGCACCCATGTACATAAATAAGTCTTTTTGTAAAAAGACTGAGAAAGAGAAGGAAAGTTAACACTTAAGGTTATTCGTTAGATAAGAGCAGTCTCAGGTTTAGGATTGTTTGCTTTGCGGGGCCATACAATTACCCAGTCTTTGGCTTGAGGTTGTTTTTAACTTCCATTTTGGCTATGTTTTCCTTTTCTCCAGATATTAACTTGGCTGCAGAGCCAAAAGTGAATCGAGGAAAAGCAGGTGTGAAACGATCTGCAGCGGAGATGTACGGGTCAGTACCAGAACACCCTTCTCCGTCCCCTCTACTCAGGTCCGGAACTTTATTATTTATAACTGCATTGTGTCCATCAGTGGGCATCTTCTCTGTGTTTTCTGGATGTGGGAGGGTCAGTGCAATGTGTTTTCTATGTGCAAAAGTATAGTTCTTATTAACTTGTGTTAGTATACTTCCCTTTTGCCTCTATTTCATAGCTCTTGAGATTTTTGCTGTTTAGGAATAGTTTCATATGTGTATAGCATTAAATGAGTAATTTGTAATGTTCTAGGAAGCTGGAAAGTAAGAAAGGAGATTGTAGTTTGACTATTGTATTGTTTCTTCTGTGTTTGGTTTGGCTCATGCGTTATTTTGTTGAAACTTTCGTCTGAATTACTAATTATATCACTGTATGTCCAGTGGTCTAAGATAGCATGGAGGGCAAATTATTTTGTGAATGAGTAGGAATTATTTGTTGCTAATCTTACTGATCTGTTTGTTGTGGTTTGTTTGGCCTGTTTTCACCCCATCTGCCATTTGAATTAACAACAGCAGCTCCAGAATAATCTTTTGGTGTTTATTTTTCAGTTCTTCGTTTGACTTGGACTATGACTTTCAACGGGATTATTATGACAGGTATGTGTGTGGTTTTTTTTTTTTGTTTTTGTTTTTAGTTTAGAAGTCAGTCAAACTCATTATTTTTAAATAATGAATGAATATTTTAAATAATGAATTCATTTTAAATAATGAATGACATGTTTCAAATGCTGCTTTCCACACAAATAAACGAAAACTTCTTTAGTAAGATGTTTGGAGATACACTTTTAAGAATTCCATATACATTTTATGGGCATGTGTTTATATGAATACCTCGTGTGTCAGAGGTCTACAGTGCCTGGAAGAGAGAGGGCTTATCAGATTAGTTGTTGCAGGCAGGTGTGAATTGCCAAACATTGGTTCTGAGATTCTAAATGTGTGTCCTCTGAGAGTTCTCTTATTCCCTGAGCTATCTTCAACTCCACAGTAAGGCATTTTCATTTATTTAAAGGAATCTGTATTATAATAGAAATTATCCAAATGTTTAAAATCCTAGTTTTCCTTTGAACATGTCTTTTTAAAATTATTTAAAAAACTTATAAAGTTTTTATTTAATTGTATTTTATGTCCTTTGGCATGAGAGTGTCAGACTACCTGGAACTAGAGTTACAGATAGTTGTGAGTTGCCATGTGGGTGCTGGGAGTTGAACCTGGGTCCTTTGTAAGTATGGACTGTGCTGTAGTTCTAAAAGACCCAGGGAAACCACTTTTTTTTTTTTTAACCTTTCAGATAGTATTTGTATGATAGCAGTATGACTGGGTAGAGTTAGGTTACACATGTCTGAATGATGTGTTCAAGGACATGGTGAGATCAGTCTTTAAAAATAAATAGTACATTAAGAAATAAATTTAGGCAGGGTAGAGTGTCATTTGCCTGTAATCCTACCACTCAGGGAGGCAGCTCTGTGATTTCCAGGCCAGCCTGGACAGAAAAATGCTGTCTCAAGAACAAACAAACAAGATTGATTTAGGGAGTAAATTCTGTGAACATTATGGTATATTAATTTTCTAAAGCCTTTCTGTTTGCATGTGGAGATCAGTAGTCTTTTGGGATCTAGGGATCAGACCTAGGTTCAGCTCATTGAGTCATCTCTCAATTCCCAATATATTTGTATATTATTAAAAAATTGCCGGGTTGGCGATTAGGTAGAGGCAGACAGGTATTGAGTTTGAGGGCCATTTTAGTTTCAGGTAGCGCAGGCTTTCATAAGGAGACCCTGTTTCTCTAAGCCCCTTAAAAAAACAACCACTTAAGTTTTGCTTGATCTGTTTTATATTATGTAATATGTGGAATACAGTGTTACTTGACAGTATACTGTTGGCTGTTTTTTTTTGTTTGTTTGTTTTTTTGGTTTTTTTGTTTTTGTTTTTAGCTTGGTATATTCGTTTTTTTGAGATGTGGTTTTTCTGTGTCGCTCTGGCTGTCCTAGAACTCTTATCTGTAGATCAGGCTGCCTTCAAACTCAAAAGATGTTTACAAAACCTCTGCCTTCTAGGTGCTAGGATTCATGTCTATAGCACTGCCCTAGCTAAAATTTTATGTATTATGTGCAAACAATTTTTTAAAGATTCATTTATTATCTAGTGTTCTGTCTGCATATATACCTGAAAACCAGAAAATGCTACCTGTTGTATTAGGTTATTAATATTTACTATTGATATATCTTTTAGTAAAGCTGTGGTTAATCCTTAACAGCTATATAACCAAATCTCCACACAGAGACTAGGATTTATTTAGTTAACCTAGAACACAATGCCAGGCATTAGTTACTCCATCCTAAACCTCCAAGCTCCCATAGTTTCCTATCATTCAGATTTTACCCCTTGATTTCTCCATGTCGTTCCAAGACCTCCAGCTTCTTTCCTCTTACTACTCCTACTCCTTCCTCTCCCCCTCCTACTCCTTCCTCTCCTCCCACTCTGAACCAGGAAGATCCACCCTATCTTCTCCATTGCCCAACATTGTGGTTGCTGTTTTATTTGACAAATTGGAGAATAAATGGTAGCATATTTACACAAACTTGAGACACGTGATGCTTAAAATAAACATCACAATGCAATGTCGGCATTGAAACCAGATAGTGGGGGAGAGAAATCAGCTTTGAATGAACAAGGGTAAGGTGTATACATTTCAAAAGAATATTATACCAACAGCAGCAACATTATACCAACATTACACCAATAGTTGGTGTAAGCCACCATAAGGTTGCTGGGAATTAAACTCCTGACCTTTGGAAAAGCAGCACGGAATGTTGGTCAAAAAACAAACACTTGTAGTGAATATCAAATCACTACAATGGTTATGGTAACTACATACATTTAAGAAGCTAGGGTAGAGAGCTGGTTCTTAGTGGTAAGTGCTTACTAAAGAGTTGGGTGTTGGGGTTGGGGATTTAGCTCAGTGGTAGAATGCTTGCCTAGCAAGCGCAAGGCCCTGGGTCCTCAGCTCTGGAAAAAAAAAGACAAAGAGTTGGGTGTGACAGTATTTGCCTGTCATCCTAGAACTGGAAGACAAGACATCAGCTGTTAGAAACTTGTGGCTTATAACTAACTGATATCAGGGGATCCTAGCCCCCTTAGTACATACAGACATAAATGAGACACACATACATATAATAATAAATTTAAAGTAATGGTGGGGAAAATTTTTGAACAGAAGATAGGAAATTGTCTCTTACTCTGAGACAAGATTTGAAAGCCTTGGGATTTCCCATGTAGGTCGAAGTTTATATATAAGTAGTTTTCCCTTTTTTTGGTTGTTTTTTGACAGTTTTGTGATGCCTCGACTGGCCTTAATCATTTGCTGGGGTTGTCCTTAATTCCTTACCCTCTCCTCAAGTATTGTGGTCACAGGTATAAGATATATTGTACTAAATTTGGTTAATGTGTAAGATTGTACATATATGCAGGTACTACATAATGCACACAAGTCTATGCAGGCCTGTGTTAAATCATGATGTTCAGATATTGTGTACTGTATGTAATTACCTATCTTTTATTTATTTACTTTGCGTTAAGCTTTCTCTTGAGCCAACAAGGCTGTGGGATTTCTCTCTCTCCCTGCCCATCACTGGGATTACAATCAGGTGCCACTGTACCCTACTTTGTTTATGTTCATTCTAGGGTTCAAGTTCAGGTCTTCAGACTAGCAAGACAGTTATCCACCTGTGATACTTAACTTTCTATAATGTTTGGTTTATTTTCTGCTTACAGGATTGCATGTATGGGGGTTTTCAATCACCATAATAGAGTTGTGGGTGCTGGGAAACCTGGGTCCTCTGCAAGAGGAGCCGTCTTTCCAGTCATTAAGTAATCCTCTTTTAGTCTAATTTAATCAGAGTATCTACTAAGTTAACTGAAGCAGATGAAATACACTAAATTTATTGTAGTATATTGATCATTAACAACTTCATGATTCTGTGGTACACAATATAAATTATGAGAGCTCTACAATTCTCCTATTAAGCATCTTACATTGCTATTACTACTTCATATCTAAGCGTTATGACCTTAAGGAAATAACAGAAAAGAAATATCAGGAACTCTTAGGTCAAAGAAGTCAAAAGTAACTGCTGAAATTAGTAGGGATACTAATGTGTCCTATGTTGGGTAGGGTTGTTCAATACACAGGTTTTGTTTCCCCAAAGATTTAAGATTTAGTCATCAAATAATCTATTTTAGAATAAGTAGGGCATGTTAGGACAGAAATAGTTAGGCTACAACCTTAAGATTATATTTTGAAGTTTTCTTGTATGTTTAAAGATATACTCACCTGTAGTTAGACATGATAAGGAGTTTAAATATTTGGAAAGGAAAGGTATTAGGGCAAGTAAACTTTTTTATTGTTTTTTGTTTTGTTTTGTTTTTTGGGACAGGTTTTTCCCTTGTAGCCCTGGACAACAGCCTCTTCCTCCCGAATGTTGGGAGTAAAGGAGTATGTCCCTACCAGCTGGCTGTTTTCATTATTTCTAATAATGTGTGTGTTTTTGTGCAATATGAGTGCAGGTACCCACAGAGGCCAGATTACACTGGAGTTGATTATAAGGTACCTGATGTGGGTGCTGGGTGTTGAACTCGGGACCTCTCTGAGAATTGTGCCTTCCTTCTAGACCCTAGATACAAGTATTGTGTGTGGGGTTTTGTGAGAATATTTGTGAGGGTGGGGTTGATATTCTTCTTTAAAGTTTCATTTGCCACCAGTCTAGTGATGATAGAAAAGGTGTGTCTATACCAAGCACATTAAATAATTTGAGAACTCTTTTTTTTCTTCTGAGATGCAGTTTCTCTGTTGCCTTGGCTATCCTGGACTCACTTTGTAAATTGGGCTGGCCTTGAACTAAGAGATCAGCCTCCCTGTGTGCTGGGATTACAGGCATGAATTACTGTGACTCCCTTTATTTGAGAACTCTTTTAAACACATTTTAGAATAAATTTCATATTCTTTGCATATTATCTAAGCCATAAATGGATGACAGTCTGGAAAAAAACAAATTTAAGTGTGCTTTCCAACAGAAAAATAAATAATGAAAATATTGCCCTCGGAAATACTGTATATGATAATAGTTCTTTGTCTTTTTTTTTTTTTAATGTTTTTCAAGACATTTCTCTGTGATAGCCCTGCCTTTCCTAGAACTCATTTTTCTCCTGCCTCAGCCTCCTGAGTCCTGGGATTAAAGGTGTGTACCACCTTTAATAGAATTGTTTGTCTTTTACTCTGATAATATGATAAAGATGAGAAAACATTGGGAGATTTGAGCAGCACTAAGAGACTGACAATAGGTAGCTGAAAGAATTACCTAGTTGGGACTTCAAAAGTTCTCACCAGCTAACATATAAGCACTGCTTAGAATTTGTTGAAAGGGTAAAGAGAAGCTGGAAGGAGGATGGTCATCACAGATGACATATATTTGGAACCATACTAAGTTAAAAGAGCTCTAACTTAATGAAGATAGTAAAGAAAGACACATTGTCCCCAGGACACTGAAACTTTTAAAGACTGTCCTGATGAGAAGCAAGGGGCTGATAAGCAAGTGTCCCAGGAGCTTTGTAATAGTATCATTTCATTTGTGGGGATTTCTTTCCCCTTGGCTTTTCTGCAGTGTTACTTTATCAAATTGTGGAGTTTTTGGTAACCAATTTAGTAAAAAGAAATGACAGGTGATGCTGTTTTAAGGCTCTGGTTTGAATTATGAGTTGATTTTTTTTTTCATTTTGAAGAATTACTATTTTATTCCATAGGATGTACAGTTACCCAGCACGTGTTCCTCCTCCTCCTCCTATTGCTCGAGCTGTGGTGCCTTCTAAACGCCAACGTGTGTCGGGAAACACCTCACGAAGGGGCAAAAGTGGATTCAATTCAAAGAGTGGACAGCGGGGATCTTCTTCCAAGTCTGGAAAGTGTAAGCAGTTGGTTTGGTTTGGTTTGGTTTTGGCTTTGATTCTTGTTTGTTATTTTTATGCAGTGCATTCCACCTCTAATGTCTAGTTTATTTATATACATGTTTGAGGGGCAGGAGTCATGTTGAGTCCAGAGAGAGTGCTAATTTTTCTGGAGCTGTAGTTGCAGGTGTGAGATACCTGGGATGGGGGCTGAGAACTGAACTCCCATGAAACTTCTGCAAGAATAGCAAACTAACAAACTCAACTACTTAGCCACCTGGAGATGTGGTTTTTGAGTTAGAGAAGTTATTAAAGTTGTCATAAACAGATTATGTGACTTGAGATGTGACAGTGAGATGAGGGAGTGTGGTAGATGCACAGTTGATAAAGTTCTATGCTTCAAGGATAGGACCTGAGTGTGAATCCTGAGTATCGGTGTAAAGCAGAGCATCTTAATGTCTATTTCTAATAGTTTTGTTAATTTATAAAATGTGTATTTGATACTTTAAAGAACTAATTAAATTCAACTACCATATACTCTTGTCAGTTTATGTGAATAAAGCAGTTGGAGCAGAGTGGGGAATATCTCAGTTCAGATTCCCAGAGCTAATTTCAGTGCCTCAAAGGAGAATTTGGAGGTGCAAGCTCTGAAAGCTTGTCCTGCCTTCCTCTTGTGTTTGCATCCTTGCATGAACATGGGAAAAAAGTACTCATTTATGTTAACAATATTGTAAGGCGTGTAGTTTTTTTAAAAAAATCCTGTAGTGACTAAAGATAAAAGTTTCTGTTAGTTAACCTCTTTTGTGTAGTTAACTAGAAAAAAAAATTTCTCCTGTGGTTTTTAAGGAATCAACTCAAAAAGCCTAGCCCTTAGAGAACATTTTCACTAACTGGTAAATTAAAGTGTGAATTACTCTGTTCTAACATTGTGTTTCTGTTATAGTGAAAGGTGATGACCTTCAGGCCATTAAGAAGGAGCTGACTCAGATAAAACAAAAAGTGGATTCTCTGCTGGAAAGCCTGGAAAAAATTGAAAAAGAACAAAGCAAACAAGCAGGTAATGGTCTTTTTGCTTGTTTCAAGTAAGATTGGGTATCTTCCTAAGGTAGTTGTTAATCTATTTGCAAACTGGGGTGTTTGGACGGGGCATTAATTTGTTTGGGAAACTTTGTAAAACTTTACTTTCAATGATTAATGGGAAATGTCTTATATCCTGTGGGCAACACTTGCCCCTGGACAGACTTGTCCTTCTCATCCCCAGTAGAGATGAAGAACGAAAAGTCTGAAGAAGAGCAGAGCAGTGCCTCTGTGAAGAAGGATGAAACTAATGTAAAGATGGAGTCTGAGGCAGGTGCTGATGACTCTGCTGAGGAGGGTGACCTGCTGGATGATGACGATAATGAGGATCGGGGGGATGATCAGGTGACGACCTTGGGGAGAAGGAAGGAAAGAAGGTTTGGGGAACTGGGGTCCATGGATAAGAGGAGTACCTCTAACTCTTACCTTATTTGTGTCTTCTCACAGCTGGAGATGATCAAGGATGAGGAAAAAGAGCCAGAGGAAGGAGAGGATGACAGAGACAGCGCAAATGGGGAGGATGACTCTTAAGCACATAGCGGAGTTTAGAAATCCATTATTCATTTATCTGGGCGCTTGTGAGAGATCAAAGTAACACCAGATCCTCTCCCCTAGTATCTTCAGCACATTCTCACTGTTCTCCCTCTCCTATTCCTTCCTGTGTTCATTAATTCATAATTGCCCTGCGCCTAGTTCCATTTTCACTTTCTTTGATGCTCCTTAGTAGTTTTGTTAAGTCTTACCCTGTAAGTTTTGCTTTAATTTTGATACCTCTTTGACTTAACAATAAAAAGATGTATGGTTTTTATCAACTGTCTCCGAAATAATCTCTTGTTATGCAGGGAGTACAGTTCTTCCCATTCATATGATTTCAGTAGTTGCTCCCCTAACTGCAGAGGCATCTCATTTACTTGTAACCCTGAGAGCAGCTTTGCATTAGAGGTGTTTGTTTCCCTCACATGAGTGAGGCTGTTCAACACGAATGTAACCATGTATTTTTGTGAATGGGAGTTGGCATGTCAAATGCATCTTACAGGAAAATAGTGTAATAGTCTTAATATTTGTTTTCTAAAGTTAATACCATGGGTTATTTTTGTGAACAGCCTGATGTTTGAGATCTTTTTCTCAAAATAAACAATTCCTTATTAAACCAGGAATTTGAAGAAAAGAAAATCTGATTTTTTTTTTATTATAATTATTTGCTTATTTTTACAAAAGCAACCTCCACAAATACTCTTAGGTGTATTAAATACGATTTTCTTGAGTACTGGTCATCATGCATAACTGAATAAAAATCATTTTGAGATGAGTGTTTAAATAATTTTGGCATGAACTGGTTGATTGTTTCAATTATGTTTAGTACAAACCCAGGTACTTTTTACTGTATCCTCAATCTGTGCCTCAGAATTAATGAAAATAGAAAAGCGTTTGTCTTTACTCTTTTATATAGTGTTTGACTTCCTAAGAACTGAGAATATAATGAAGTGTTATGACTATGTGAAGTACTCCAGTCATTTGGGACATTGTACCAACATTCAAAGGCTAACAGTATAAACAGGCTTTGAGGCTTCTGTTACTTCTTTGGTCCTGACAATACCCCCATTTCTTTATGATTTACCCCTGTATTTTTCTGCATAGCAGGCTATAAAAATCTGGTTCTTTTATGCACACAGACTTTTCTATTTCTCAAAAAGATGTTATTCTATATAGAGAGCATACAATACAGGCTTGCGTTTTCATCCTATGTAGTGTAAACAAATTTTATATGTAGATAAAGTTGAGTAGAAGGTAAGGCGCTGAATTCAAGGTTATGCTTGGCTCCAGTGTACATAATACAAAGTAGCTTTTATTGTGACACTCTAGCCCCCCTCCCCCAAGTCTTTGGTTTTAATGTGAATTCTGCTACGTTTAACTGTTCAATCTGAGTAATTGGCCTACTCAGTGCTGGAATTAAAGCCATGCACCAGCACCACCTGATAAAATCTGTTGAAAGGTTAATATTGACAATTATGTGGCTGGTATATAAGCACTGAATTTATTAGTCTGGCTTATTTATTATAGCCAGTAAGTATTAAATACAATACAGAGAACAAAATGGCTTGGCCATACAGTTTTCTTGTTAACTGACATTAATATGAAGAAAATTTACCTGTAGCAGTTAAATGGAATTTGGATTTTTGACATAGTCCTTTGAAAATGCTAAGTAATTAGTCTTTAGGTGTCTTGCTTTCAGATCATTGTATTTCACAGATGACAGGAACCATTTTGTAGTATAAAGTTGATTCTGAGTAATAGGAAGTTGTGGGGTTTTAGTTTTTAAAAGAATATTGTGATTATATAAATAAGCCCAGTTTTATCTACAATGCTGTAGTTTCATCTATCTACCATAATAGCTTGAGGCCTTTTGGGGGTTGAAATGACCCTTTCACAGAGCTCACCAAAAACCATTTGAAAGCACATTATGGTTCCTAACAGCAATATGAAGTACCAAAGAAAATTTTATCACTGGGTTACTGCAACACAACTATTAAAGGGTTGCAGCCTTAGGAAAGTTGAGAACCACTGATCTACCATTACTATAGATGAAAAGGTATTTGTCAACATAAACTTGGATGTGGTGTAAATGCTTTACAAATGTTTGTAGAGAAAGGAAACTAAATCTGGGAAAGCAATAAGCTCCACATTTGAATTTTCAGTGTTTAAGAATCCCAAGAGAAGTGGGGCATGGTGCTGCATGCCTGTGATTCCTGTTTTCAGGGAGGCAGAGGAAGGTGGATCACTAGTAAGTTTGGTCTACAAAAGCATATCCATGACAGCCAAGGCTACACAGAGAACCCCTGTGTGTCTGTTGACTGTATATGGTTACATAGGTGCCAGAGAGAATTTTACTTGTATAAGTGTGCCTGGTGCCAAAAAGGGGCATCACATCCCCTGGACTGGAGTTACAGATGGCTGGCACTGTCATGCTGGTCCTGGGAAACCACTGAGGCATCTCTGCAGCTCCGAGTACTGGCACTCAGCAGCCACCAATGAGCCTCTTTTATGTAGGATTAAGGGAGCATGTGTGTGCATGTTTAAAGTTGGATAGTTCTCCCTAGTTTGTTACATCGTCTTGCTTAACATCTTCCAGCAATGGTATTTTCAAGTGGTAAAACTATAGGTACATCTATAAGTGGGCAAAGCCATCTTTGAAGGAAGACATGAGAATATGGTCATAGACCTAAGAAAGGGCTTCAGAGTTTTGCCTTTGAGAGTTTGATCAGCTAGGAAGGCAATGAATAAAAATTGCATATCTTATAGTCACAGCTTAAGAGGAAACACCAAAGTATAACACCTGCTTTGACAGCTGAGTAAAAGGGTCTTATTTTGCCCACCACTCTGATTTGAGGAAATCTGTGACAGTGGAAATATTTTCATCAATGTAACAAGAGTGCTTGGATTTTGAGATGTGCCAGTGTAATGGAATCACATTTTAAGTTTTTTAATAGTTGTGTCTAGTTCATGGTACCAATGACAAGTGTTGATTTTTGGATTTTTCAAGACGTTTCTCTGTGACTCCACCTGTCCTGGACTCTCTAGTCTAGGCTGGCCTTGAACTCAGAGATCCGCCTACCTGTGCCTCTTGAGTGCTGGGAGTAAAGCCATGCATTGCCAGGTCTGGCTGACAAGATAGCATGCTTGTGGTATCTCCCACAACTTCAGTTTGTAATAGTTTCCTAGGCCCTAGAGCATACCTCTGAGGACATACTCGTCTATATGGGAATGAGAAGGTACAAGATGACCCATGCTACTCAGACCTTTGTGCAATGCCTTACAGAATAGACTACACTATTTAGTTTTTATTCATAGAATATTTTATACAGTATATTTTTACCACTTCTCAACTTGTCACATGTTTAAGGTAGAGCAGAATACTAACTAAGCAACTCATGTTTCAAAAGTTGTAGGTAAATTAGAGACTTTATTCAAAGTAAAAATTTGGACCTGTGATCTGATTTGCCCTTGGATATTTTCCTTTTGAGACAGTTTTTCTGTATTGCCTTGGATTTTTGTAACCTGGATGTACCCGACCTGGGATTTGTAAAGATATGCATCACCCAGCCTAGCTGCTCATGGGTTGTCAGCCTTAAAGAAGAAATGGTGTTTGAAATCAACCATTTTCCAACTATACCAGGGAATAACCACCACATTTTTCTCCCTAACAACAGATTACAGTATTTCATAGACTTCACAGCATTAGAAGTATGTTACTGGGAAATAACTTGTTTTAAGAGGTAAATATTATTTTTTAATACAGTTTGTGTTTCAGGAATATAGGAGCAGTATTTCCTCCCTAGCTTTCCCAAATCTGTCACCTTGTTGAAACCATTTCTGTCTTGGTTACTATGCTTTACAATTCTGCTGGTCCTTCATGCCAGCATAGTTTTGATGAGTTTTCTGCATGTCATTGGCAGCATCTGAAAAATAATCTTGAGTAGACAAGAAGTTTCCACATGTAAAAGCATTTACTCTCTTGAGTCCGATGGCCTGAGTTTGCTTCCTGGGACCTATATAAAAAGGGACAAGGAGAGAGTTGTCCTCTCACCTTATATATACCATGGCACATGCACTCATCCATGCACATCACACAAAGTATTGAAAGACACCTACAAATGTGGTAACTCAGTAACCTTAAGATCTATACAAGCCACAAGTGAGACATATCAACTCTCCATTTCCCTATCTCAAGATGTCAGACCTATGGATCTACTTTCTCTCTCTCTCTCTCTCCCCCCCTATGTCTGGAACAGCCTCACTGCCCTCCTGTGCATCTGGGAATGCACTCTTCCTACCATGGTGCGTGTACACTCACGCACTCAAACCATGACTTGCATGTGGAATTCAGAGGACAGTCTGCTGATTCTGATTCCATTCTTTGGTTTCCACCATTCTTTGACTTCCAGGAATTGAACTCAGGTTATCGGACTTTATAGCAAGCATCTGTACCTGCTAGGCCTTCTCACCCTATTTCTGTTCTCAAGCCCTTATGAACTATTACTTTCTCTGCTGAGTCCTTCCTTCCCTTGTCCCAACGAGCCTGCAGTCTTCGTGTAAACCACAGCCTCCTTTTCCTCACATATCCATAGGTTTGGGGAAACTGCATCCTAGCTGCAATTAGCCAAGGAGTATATACACATCTGCAAATTCCTTTCCTTTCTGGTCTGGCAGTCAGACTCTTCAGTATCACTCCTTCATTGGTGCTTCCATACCGGTTTCTCCCATTTTTCCTAGAACTTACAGCAATTCTCAGTTCTCTTTCTGATCAATAGTTTGTGTTTAGCACTTTCAGAATATTTTTAGTATAATTCATACACAATATGTTTACATACCTTTTAATTAGCTAGGTAAACAGTAATAGCTAAGGTCAAAACATAGACTATATTTACTTTGAATTGTATCATGTATTCAGACAACACCCATATTAATCTTTTCAAAGCATAATCACCGAAGTTCTTGGTTAAAACTTTCCTGGCGCTGTTTTTAGGGAAATGACAAAACATAACCTACACAGCCAAGATGGCTGTGGTGTGGTCCTGGCTGTCTATTCACTTCTATCTACCAGGTACTCGTTGGCTTTCCCTGTTTCCTTTACACTGGACCCTTTTTTCTCTCTTATCTTGTGCTCCGTATTTCAAGTAGTGTCAGTATCCAAGGAGCTTCTCTTAGCAGATTTGGACCAGGAGTGCCTTTCTTTCTTAAAGAAAATGTTTTTTTCATTTTATGTGTATATGTGAGTGCCTGCATGTATGTATGTATGTGTACCATGTG